TATTTAATCCCCATAGAATTCATGAATTAGGTCAACTGAGAAAAAATATAGCTATTGAATGAACTGGTTCAAAATGGAATCAAATAGAATTCCTCATTTTTCATATCTTAAACCCAAATGAAAGTTCTCACTTAACCTACAGTGTTGGTGTGTTTTGCTACTTTTGTGGGATTCTGCTTTCATGCTCCTGTTACTTACCAGGCAGCCATTTGGAAATAGATAATAAGTTAGAATGTACCTAAAGCTNACCGAACCGGTTAGAAGAGGTTCCACCAGTGGACCCGGAAAGCAGGCCACACCTACAGAAGAGGTTCCAAAAATTTTTGAAACCCACCACTGAGTGGGATCCATTTTATGATTGCCTTGGTCCACCTAGTTCTTCTTGCTATCTAAACAACCCATTTCCATTTCAATTCTTTTATTCTCTTGATAATATCATATGCTTTTTGTTTTCTAATCCATGTGCAGGTCTTTCTATCTTCTCTTGTAATGCCGAGTATGTATCTTTCCATAGTTGCACCACTCGTAGCTTTTGTGTCAATTGTGAGGTTAGTGTCCAAGTTTCACCAGCATGTTAGAGCAGAACACAGTGATCAAAAACATTTCACACATAGGGGGAGGTTGTTCTTGAAAATTGCCATACTTTTCAGTCTATAGGATGCACCTCCCCCCCCAAAATGCATGGAAATGTCTGTGCGTCTTATAGCGTGAATATTGCAGCAGGGGTGGGGAAAGGGGTTGGTGCCTGTCACCACTGCCACCGCTGTTCCCTGCCAGCAAGGAATGCTGGCGCCTTCATCGCTGATTGGCAATTGGCTCGACCTCCCAGAATACCACTGATCAGCTGTTCTAGGCAATGGGGATTGCCTTGTCAATCACTGCTGCATGGCGGTGGGGGTGATAGGCAGTGGCAGCGATCGGCAGCAGCAATCCCCACCGCCTAGAACAGCTGATCAGCAGTATTCCAGGAGGCTGATCCAACCACCAATCAGCTGCTCGGGAGCAAAGGCTCCATCATTCCCCAGTGGCGGTGAATGGTGGCAGCGGTGACAGGCAGCGGGGCACCAACACTCCTCCCCCCTGCTGCAATATTTGATCTATAAGATGCTGAATGGCAGCACAGCGATAGGCAGTGGCAGCGATAGGTGGCAGGGATCCCCGCCACCTAAAACAGGTGATTGATGGTACTCCAGGAGGCTGATCCAACTGGCAATCAGCTGCTCAGCAGCGAAGGCTCCAGCATTCCCGGCGGAGGCAGCAGACACGGAGGAGGCAACAATGGCAGCGTTTTTGGTTGACCAGACGGCTGATCAGCGGGGTTACAGGAGTCCGGGATCCAGCTGTCACTCAGCTGACCGGTGATTGGTGCAACGGAGCAGAGTCTTGACGAGCCATGTGCTGGGGCTACAATAACATGCTGAAGCTGAGCAGGCTCTTTGCTGCAGGGACGCTAGCCAGATGAATACCGGATGGATGCTGGAGACAGGCAGAATTTTTTTTCTTATTTTCCTCCTCTAAAGCTAATGTGTGTCTTATGGTCCGGAGCGTCTTATAGACTGAAAAATACAGTATGCTTAGCTTGCCAAATGTCTGCCAACTACGTTTAACACACCGTTCAAGTTTTTAAATATTTAATTGTATACCGCCTAGAGACCCTCTGAGGGACATGGGCGGTTCTTAAATATGATAAATAAAAATACACACGAACAAAGCATCAACTCAAACCGCTTATATACCTAATAGTCCCGCTTCCTATTTTCCCCACAACTCTTGTGAGATGGATTGGACTGACGGTGACGGGCCAAAGTCACCCAACTGGCTTTTATGAGCCAGCAGTGTGCTGCAGCTGCCAAAAAAGCCAATACAGTTCTAGGCTGTATTAACAGAAGGATAGAATCAAGATCATGTCTCCTGCATGAGCAGGGGGTTGGACCAGATGACCTCCAAGGTCCCTTTGAACTGTGGTACTGTTTATGTGAAGTGTTAATACCAGTGGTCGGATTCAATTTTTTTTTACTACTGGTTCTATGCGCGTGGCTTGGTGGGTGTGACATGGGTTGGTGGGCATTGCAGGGGAAGATTACCACAAAATCCTCATTCTCTCCCCACCCCACTAATCTGCTTTCCAGCTCCGTTCTCCTGTTCAGGGCAACAAAAGATCAGCTGGGAGGCAGCGGGGGTGGGACCAGCCTATTTGCTGTTTCTCTGAATTACTCAAAATTTCCACTACTGGTTCTCCAGAACCTATTCAGAACTGAATACCACCTCTGCTTAATACCACTTTATGATACCTTGGATAAGACCACACTTGGAATACAGCATCGAAGATGTTGAGCCTCTAGAACAAGGGTCAAACTGGCGGCCTGCGGTCCGGATGCATCATCCACCTCAGCTCCGTGAATGGGAAAAAACATCACGAAATGTCATATGATGGCAAAGTGATGCAGCTAGTTTGATCCACATGCTCTAGAAATAATGGAGGGAAGAGCAACAAAAATGATTATTCCCCAAAGCACCTGAAGGCAGAACAAGAAGCAATGGGTGGAAATTAATCAAGGAGAGAATTAACCTCGAACTAAGGAAAAATTTCTTGATAGTGAGAACAATTAACCAGTGGAACAACTTTCCTCCAAGTTTTAAAGAAGTGATTGGACAACTATTTGTCTGAAATGGTATAGGGTTTCCTGCTTGAGCAGTAGGTTGGACTAGAACAGTGGTCACCAACTGAGGGTCCGTGGACCACTGGTGGTCCATAAGAAAAAATTGGTGGGCCGCAGAAAAATCATTTGCATTTTTTATATTACACTAAATACTATTTATCTTTTATTAAAAAATCATATTAGTGGTCCACGGGATTTAAAATTATGAATGTAGTGATCCCTGAAGTCCAAAATGTTGGTGATCCCTGAACTAGAAGACCTCCGAAGTCTATTCTGTTCTATTCCTAGTCTATTATTTATTTTCTATATTTCTATTCTATTATTTTTCCTATTGTATTATTTATTTTCTATATTTCTATTCCTATTCTATTATTTCTTTTATATATTTCTATTCTATTCTTTTTCCTATTATTTTTTTATATATTTCTATTCTATTCTTATTCCTATTCTATTATTTCTTTTATATATTTCTATTCTATTATTTTTCATGTTCTATTGTTTATTTTATATATTTCTATTCTATTCTATTTCTTATTCTATTATTTCT